GTTTCATGAGGGCGAGTATAGAATTTAGAGTTTGTACATGATTAAATCATATTTCACGAAACGATATTATGAAGCTTAATCCTATTGTATTAGGAAAATTCAAGCAGCTAATTTTTTGTTAAGTGTATTATTTGTTACATTTAGATTCATATGTACAAATTTCTTATTTCTAGTGCAAAATCTGAATTAGAAACTTTACACAAGACAATTTCGATTTTGCAATTCGAACCGTTTGCCATTCCAAGTTTTGATCGAGAGATCGAGAAATTTTTTTCTTGTTATTTGCTTTACTAAACGGATCCAACCAAATACAATTTGAATTTACAATGAACGTAAAAAAAATTGACACAGTACAATGCTTACTAAAGTTGAAGTTTACCGTCGGCTCTTAATGATCTTTTTCTGTACAATGGAAACTAGTTATAATTATCAGATGACGACTGGATTGATCATTGGGAAACGCCGGCTGCCTTGAAGTTGGACACTCCGCGGAAAATTTGTAGGGTAACAAATCGTTGGGGTTTTCGTTATTGGCTCGCGTTGGTAAAAAAAACGAATTCTTTAATTCGGCTCTTGAAGAATTGAGTGGTTGTAACGGATGCGTACAGAATTCTTTGGTAAGAAACGAAGATGCTGACCGGTAGGTGGACGGCCGAAACTGTCACGATACTCGACTATGCCGGAGGATTGGAATTTTTTGAATAACACAATAATAATCCAATTTCAAGACAAACATATGAAAGAAAACAAACTACGGTCACTAGTTTAATACTATGCGCAGGTAAAAAACAAACTTAGCTCTTCAATTACAAATTGTTTGACTTACATTCATTGTCGGTTATGATACGATGTTCCGTTGAGAAATATATGGATTGATTTTCTGATTGAGGTTTCCTTAGTACCTTTTTTGAATATAGTGAAGGTTATTCTGCTCGAGCGATATCTCAATTCTAATGCGATTCGATCAAAGTAATCTAGTCTAGATTATTATCAACGGCACAATGTATCACAACCGACAATGAATGTAAGTCAAACAATTTGTAATTAAAGACCTTATTTTGTTTCTTCGTTTGTATAAGCACACATAAGCACAGTATTAAACTAGTAGTTTGTTCTTTCAAATCTTTGTCTCGAAATTCGATAATTTATTGTTATTCAAAAATTCAAATCCTCAGTATCTTGACAGTTTCGGCCGTAATCAAGCACAGTACCACGATTGCAAAAATGGTCGACCAATTAGGGCC